CCTGTGCTTTCTAAGATCTTATAGTTTGAGGTTTTATGTTTAGGTCTTTGATCCATTTAGAGTTAATTTTTGTGTATGGTGATAGGAAGGGTCCTGTTTCAATCCTCTGCATGTGGTCAGTTTTCCCAGCACCATTTACTGAATAGGTGTGCCCCTCCCAGTAGTTGTTGTTGGAGGCTTTGTCAAATATGAGTTAATTGAGGAATTGAGGCTTTGATCTGGAATCTCTATCCTGTTCCATTGGTCTATGTGCCTGTTCTTGTACCAATACCATGCTGTTTTGATAACTAGAGCCTTATAGTAAAGTTTGAAGTCTGGAAGTGTGATACCTCCTGCTTTGATTCTTTTGCTAAGGATTGTTTTGGCTATTCGTGATCATTTATGTTTCCATATGAATTTCTGTATTGCCATTTCCAGGTCTGAGAAGAATGAAGTTGGTAACTTAACGGGTATTGCATTGAATCTGTAAATTGCCTTTGTTAGGATGGACATCTTAACAATGTTGATTCTTCCTATCCATGAGGATGGAATATTTTTCCATTTGTTTGTGTCTTCTTGAATTTCTTTGAGCAGTGTTTTGTAGTTCTCATGATAAAAGTCTTTCACTTCTTTGGTTAGGAAGATGCTGAGGTATTTCATTTTTTTGGTGGCTATTGTGAATGGAATTGTGCTTTTTATTTGGGTCTATGCCTATTTGTTTTTGGTGTATAGGAATGCAACTGTCTTTTGCACATTTATTTTGTACCCTGAGACTTTGCCAAAGTCTTTTATCAATGCAAGCAGGTTTTTGACAGATTCTCTTGGATTTTCAAGATATAGGATCAAATTATCAGCAAAGAGGGATAACTTGACTTCCTCTTTTCCTATTTGGATACCCTTCATTTCCTTCTCTTGTCTAACTGCCTGAGCTAGGACTTCCAACACAATGTTAAACAAGAGGGGTGAGAGTGGGCAGTGTTGTCTTATTCCAGTTTTCAGGGGAAATGTTTCTAATTTCTGTCCAATTAGCAATATGTTAGCTGTGAATTTGTCATCAATGGCACTTACTATTTTGAGGTATGTTCCTTGTATACCTAGGTGTTTAAGGGTTTTTATCAAGAAGGGATGCTGGATTTTATCAAAAGTTTTTTCTACATCTAATAAGATAATCATGTGGTTCTTGTTTGTGCATCTGTTGATGCATTTAATAATATTTATGGTCTTGTGAATGTTGAACCAGCTCTGCATCCTGTGGATGAAGCCTACTTGGTCATGGTGGATAATTATTGAGATGGGTTTTTGGATCAAATTTGCTAGAATCTTGTTGAGGATTTTTGTATCTATGTTCATAAGGGATATTGGCCTGTAGTTCCCTTTCTTTGTTGGATGTTTACCCGGCTTGGGTATCACTATAATGTTAGCTCTGTAAAATGGTTTGGGGAGAATTCCATTTTTCTCAATTGCCTGGAATACTTTCAGTAGGATTGGTATCAGCACCTCCTTGTATGTTTTGTAGAATTCTGCTGGAAAGCCATCTGGTTCAGGGCTTTTTTTGGTGGGTAGTTTTCGTGTGACAAAGTCAATTTCATGGGTTGTTATTGGTCTATTTAGTGTCTCAATGCTTTCTTGCTTTAACATGGGGAGATTGTGTGATATCACAAAGTTCTCCATTTCATTTATGTTATCAAATTTGTTTCCATATAGGTGTACATAGCAATCTCTGATAATCCTTTGTATTTCTTCGGGGTCAGTTGTGATTTGATCTTTTGTATTTCTAATTGTGTTTATTTGAGGTTTTTCTCTCTTTTTCTTGGTCATTCTGGCTAGGGGGCCCATCAATCTTGTTAATTCTTTCAAAGAACCAGCTTTTTGTTTTGTTGATGTTTTCTATGGTAACTTTGTCTTCTATGTTCTGTATTTGGCCTCTTATTTTTGTTATTTGGATTCTTCTTCTAAAGTTGGGGCTTTGGTGGTCTTCTCTTTCTAGCTCCCTTAGGTTATTTGTTAGGCTCTCTACTTGTAATCTTTCCATTTTCTTGATGTGTGCTCATAGAGAAATAAATTCCCCTCTTAAAACTGATTTCATGGCATCCCAGAAGTTTTGGTAAGAGGCTTCTTCATTTTCATTTGTTTCCAGGAATCTTTCAATTTGTTCTATGATTTCAGTATTGAACCAGTCATTGTTCAGCATCATGCTGTTTAGTGTCCATGTCTTTGTGGGCTTTGGGGAAATGTTGTTGGTTTTGATATTTATTTTTATTACACTGTGGTCTGAGAATGTGCATGGTTAGATTTCAACCTTATGGAATTTGTTTATGCCTAATTTATGCCCAAGGATGTGATCAATCTTGGAGTATGTTCCATGTGGTGATGACCAGAATGTGTATTCTGTGGTTGCTGAGTGGAATAATCTGTAGGTATCCACTAAGTCCATTTGGTCAAGTGTCAAGTTTAGATTCTGGATCTCCTTGTTGATTTTTTTGCCCTGATGGTCTATCTAGGGCTGTCAGTGGGGTATTTACACCTCCTGCTATAATAGTTTTAGAGTCAATATCTTATTTTAGTTTATTTAGTAGTAGTTTTATAAATGTTGGTGCTCCTAGGTTAGGTGCATATATGTTTAGGATGGATATTTCTTGTTGATGGATTGAACCATTTATCATTATGAAGTGTCCTTTTGCATCTTTTAAAATTTTTGATAGCTTAAAGGTTGTTTTGTCTGAGGTTAAGATTGCAACTCCTGCCTTCTTTTGTGATTCATTGGCCTGGAAACTCGTTTTCTATCCTTTAATCTTAAGTGTGTATGAGTCCTTTGTGGTGAGATGAGTTTCCTGGATGCAGCAAATAATGGGGTCATGGTTTCTTATGCAATCCACTCTCTTTTCAGTGGTGTATTTAGTCCATTCACATTCTGTCTAGTTATTGAAATGTGGGAGTTTATCCTTGTCATGATGTTCTTATTGATTTGTTGTTGTTCCTGTTTATTTGTTGTCTTGCCTTTGGTTTTGGGGTTGATTCATGTGTGCTTTCCATCTTTTCCCTGTACTCTTATGAAAAAAATTGTCACTCTTTTCTCCTTTTCTTCTGTGTTTGATACTTTCTTAAGTGTTTCCTACAGAGGTGGTCTGGAGGCAACATAAGTTCTTAGGGTTTGGATGTCTGGGGAAGATTTTAATTCTCCCTCACTGATAAAGCTTAGTTCAGCTGGGTAAGTTACTCTTGGTTGAAATTCTTTATCTTTGAGAACTTTGAAGATTCGACTCCAAGTTCTCCTACCTGTAGGGTTTCTGAAGATAAATCTGCTGCTATTCTAATTGGTCTTCCCTGGTAGGTAGTCTGAACTTTTCTTTTGCTTCATTTAGGATTTTTTCTTTTATACCTACTTTGTTTAGGCAAATTATTATGTGTCTGGGAGTTGGTCTTCTCATTTTTTGTCTTGCAGGGGTTCTCTGAATCTCTTGCATTTGAATTTTCACATCACTGATGAGATGAGAGAAGTTTTCTTGAATAATTTTATGGAATGTTTGTTTCAGTGTGGTCTCTGTCTCTCTTTCTGCCTCAGGAAGTCCAATTAGGTTTGGTATCTTGAAATAATCATTCATCTCTTGAAGGTTTTGTTCTGTCTTTTTAAGCTCCTTTTCTATGTTTTTGACAGTATGGGATAGTTCTGTATTTTGGTCTTCAAGCTCTGAGATTCTTTCTTCTGCTTGGTTAATTCTACTTTCCATGCTTATTAGTTTGCTATTTCTTTCAATCACAGTATTATTTACTGCTGTTATTTTAGTTATCAGCTCCTTCCTATCTTCCTGTTGTCTCTCCTCAGTTCTTTTTATTCTCTCTATTAATGTCTTGATGTCTGGGTTTGTCATTTGTGACCAGTCATTCTGGGGGCTTTCATCGTTTGCATTTCAAAGTCTGTTTTCTCAGTGTCTGACATCCCAGGGGTCTGTGTGAGACCTATAGTCTTTTTTCAGTTTTTCTTCATTTGTGCAGATTTTCCTGCCTACTTTTTTGTTTTCTCCTCCCCATCATCTTCTTTAATTTTGTTGTTGAGGGGTGGAGGGGTTGCATTTACTTCAGTTTGTTTAATCTCCTATTCTTCCTTATGTATATCCTCTGGCTTTCTTCAATTCTGGAGCTGGACTATAGGTTGGGGCAATCCTTTTTTTCAGTTTTGAGATTTAATTGATGGGCAGCTGTGATTCAAAATCTGTCTGCAGATTCCAGTATCCACTGACAGGTGTATGGATACTCTGGAACCCACTTCCCACTGCCTGACAATCTGTCCATGCAGTGGGGTTATAGGTTTACTCCCTGAAAGCAAAATGAGGTTAAAAAAAAGGAAAAGAATGGAGCAGGGAGGGAGAGGAAGAGGGAGGTGGAGAGAGGAATAAGAGGGAAAGCAGACAAACATACCGACTAACAAATGAAAAGAGACACAGAGACCAATACAAGCAAAAAGAAAATAACAAAGAAGCCAACAATCATACGAAGAAACTTAAACATACATTCATATGAATATACAAGCTAAACAACCTCCTTACTGGTGTGCTATTCTGCTATACAAAGATGGGGTGTAAAGAGAAAAAAAGAAATAGAATAGAATAAATTCAGTATACTAACAGAACCAAGCAAGTATGAAAATGTTATTGATAACAGTAAGTAGAGAGGGAAACAAGATGGGCAAGACAAACAGATAAGGAATTTTAAAATTATATACAAAGGTAATTAACTGGGTGCAGCGTAGCATCTGGGAGAATGGAGACAGTCTAGAAGAGCTGATGGAAGATGTTCATACCTTGTACTACTCAGCTGATCACAAGCTGCTTGGTGGGAACCTACTAGATGGACAGGTTGAGGCGTTTGGCAGTGATGATGACCACATTCAGTTTGTGCAGGAAAAGACACCACGTGAAAATGGCCATAAGCAGATTAAGTAGTAGTTCCATTGGATGTCTCTTTTCTCCAAATGCTACAGTACAAAGCCCTAAGCATGAGTGTAAAATCATTGCTTCAGAAAAGCAATGATTTACTTGTTATACTTCGAATAACACATACTTGTGCCTGGCTGTGCTGGATGGTATACTCTGTGTCATTTTCCTTCATGGGAGAAACAGCCCACAGAGCTCACCAACAAGTACTCCTAAACTGAGTTAGAGTTTAAGCTTTGAGATGCAGCCAGATGAGCTAATAGAAAAGCTCATGTCACCTATGCAGTATGCATGATGCATCTGGGCACAGCAGAGATGAATCGAAAACTCATTGCTGTAGGTGGTTATAACAGAGAGGAATGTCTTCGAACAGTTGAATGCCATGATCCATATACAGATCATTGGTCCTTTCTTGCTCCCATGAGAATACCAAGAGCTCGATTTCAAATGGCTGAACTAATGGGCCAGCTCTATGTGGTAGGTGGGTCAAACGGCCACTCAGATGATCTGAGTTGTGGAGAGATGCATGATCCAAACATAGATGACTGGATTCCTGTTCCAGAATTGAGAACTAACCATTGTAATACAGACATGTGTGCCCTGAATGGAAAATTATATATTATTGGTGGCTCTGATCCATATGGTCAAAAAGGACTGAAAAACTGTGATGTGTTTGATCCTATAACAAAGTCATGGACAAGCTGTGTTCCTCTTAACATACAAAGACATCAATCTGCAGTCTGTGAGCTTGGTGGTTATTTGTACATAATTGGAGGTGCAGTGTCTTGGAACTGCTTGAACACAGTAGAACGTTACAATCCTGAAAATAACACCTGGACTTTAATTGCACCCATGAATGTGGTTAGGTGAGGAGCTGGAGTAGCTGCTCTTAATGGAAAACTTTTTGTAGGTGGTGGCTTTGATGGTTCTCATGCCATCAGTTGTGTGGAAATGTATGACCCAGCTAGAAATGAATGGAAGATGATGGGGAATATGATTTCGCCGAGGAGCAAAGCTGGGATCACACCTGTTGGGAACAACATTTATACAGTGGGAGGATTTGATGCCAATGAATTTCTGAATACGGTGGAAGTCTATAGCCTCACGTTAAATGAGTGGAGCCCTTATACTAAGATTTTCCAGTTTTAACAAGTTTAAGACCCTCTCAAACTAACAGGATTAGTGATGTAATTGTGTCTAGTAGAGATACACTTGTGAATAAGGGGGGTGAGTGGGTATAGATATTGCTAATAGCAACACAAAGCTTTTGCATATTGCATATTATTAAGCATGCTGTACATAATTTTTGTATTCATTTGGAACGGAATGCAAAGATGAAGTTCTGTTTTGTGTATTTTTTAAGACTTCTCTGGTTATTTTACTTTTGGAAGTTGCTATTGTAAAAGAATAAACTAAGAATCGATTTGGGCCCATCATTTCAAGAAGTCCCCTTTCCTCCACATTTGTTTTGCCAGTTTGCACATTAAATGACTTTCCCCTCAAATGTGTATTATGGGGCAGGAGGGTAGACAGTTGAATTTTTTAAGGGCCCTTTTTCAATAACTGGAACACTCTATGATACTTAACAAATGATACTTATTTAAATAGATGACATTGGCTATTTTTTGTTTTTATTAAAAGAAAGCTGACATGCCTACCAATATTTGATGTCTTATGATTGCCTTTTCATAACTTTTTATATTCTCAGCAGAGTGCTTTACCTGTTGGAAGTAAGCTGTGGCAAATTGAAATTGTTGAAGCAGACTGGCAGTCTGAACTGGCAGAGTTTCCAGAATGAAACTTAAAAGCTTGTGCCTCGACTGCATTTTTTTTTTTTTTTTGAGAATGCAGTACTAATATTTATTTGAATGGAATTGTTGAACAGTAACATAGCTGTGATTTTGATATTTGAAACACTGGTTTTTGCCTTGTTGAAGGTTTATTTTATATAGGAAGACATTGAATATAAGAAGGGGAACCCCAAAAAGCCCAGAATTTATTTAGAAAAAATTATTATGTATTCTTACATGTTTAAACTTCAGTCGCCTTCTGATGCAATACACCTATCAAGACCCCTTTTCCACTACTCAAAACAGTATTGAATTTGCCGATTTTGATGCCGTTTAGTGCTCTGCTGTCTTTGTTTCACCTCTTCCACATCAGCAAAACATTTCCGTTTGAGGGAAACGTTTTCCTCAAATGTTTCATCCAGGGACAAAAAAGTTACTTGGGGTAAGATCGGGAGAATAGGGAGGTGATGCATGGGGGTCATCCTGTTTTCGATTAAAAACTGCTGAATGGACAATATGGTATGGGCAGGTGGTCAAAAACTGAACACTCAGCACAGTGTGGGCAAGTAGTTCGTGTAGTCTCCCATCGTGAAATGGGCAAACATTGAAAGAATCTCAAAAAATCCACTGAAGCCAAAAGCAACCTCTCAGAAGAATGCTACTTGGTACACTGATGCTGATGGGTTCCTAGAGCACTTACCTAGTGGGAGAAGCCTGTCCTACAAGGAGCCTGCCCTCCAAAAAAAATTGTTTTTTGGGTCCCCTTCTGATAGCAATAAAAAGTTGTTTTATCTTCTAAATCTTGTTTTTATTTTTCATTAATAATCCTAAATAGCAGTCCTCGATTGCTATTACCTTAAAATTGAGTTGTGAATGCAGCCTGTATAAGAACTATGCTTTTGTTCAGTTTTTCTACATACATGGATAAATATTGGTTGGGATGACTTGGAGTCTAATGCTACACACCTAACTCATGCCAAAATTAGCACATCCTAATGTTGCTGATACAAACACCTTAAAGGTACTTTGCAGGAAATCCTTCCACCATGAGATTAATATCTAAGTGCTGTTTGTGTACTCATTCATTACTAAAACTATGGATAAATTTTTTTCCCCAGTAATGATGGGCTTGGGGTATTTGTGAAAAATATCCACCTTGCATCTTACATCTGAAATACATCTGAAATAAGAAATGATACAAGTTTTTTTCTTACAGAAGATGAAGCACATAGGAACCTACTCAGCCAACTGGCATGAGATGACTATTCAGTGGCTAACTTGGGTTAGGAAGAAAATTAGACATTTTTTCTAAATGTTCACTGGTACTGTACTACCTTATTTCTCATCTATTCCACAAAGAACTACCAAGAAAGGAAGTTTGTCTGGTAGCTAGTTTCTGATTATTACTGGTTTGGTTCTAGACTAAAACTGGGTTGACAGAATTGAATGTGCCTAATATGATGACTGTTTTAAATATGGAACTGTTTATGTTCTATTCAACACAAGGAAATAAAGCTTTAGTTGGGGATTCAGCACTAAAAAAATAAATAAATAAATAAATAAATAAATAAGTAAAAATTAAAATGGGGAAGCAAGCACACTGAGACTTTTCCTTTAAGTCCAGTGTTCTTTCAGCTCTGATTTCTACCTTTCTACCTCTTTTTGCAAACTGGTAGATTTGTTCACAGTTAGGGTCAGTTGCCCCTGGCCTACTGTGGAGGGTGGTTCATATCTGGACTGCCTGCCAAATCTGCCACTCACATTTGGCCTGTGCCTATTTAGCATGGGGGAAGAGCTTCTGTCCTTCCCATTTTGATGTTGTTACCTTGGATCCCAAGCTGGGAGGTGGGCCAGGCTGGTGGAAGCTAATCACTTTTTCTGCTGCTGTTGGAGACTGCCAGGTGATGCAGGCCAGGCTAGGCAGAATTCGAATGCCACCCAGGGCAGGAGGGAGCAGGCAATGGTGCAGCAGTGGCAGCCACCGCTTCACAGTGCATGGTAGGAGCTCCTCAAGTCTGGCTCCAGGTGAGGAGTGGGACATGGCAGTGGCAGCGGCAGCAGCAGTTTCAGTGGTGCAATGCTTGGGTGGGGGCTTCATGGTCCCAGAGCCATGGATCACCTCAGACAGGGTCAGGACGGTGGCTGTGGCAGCATCAGTGGCTGCTGCGGCTGAGGTGGTGGCTAGGGTGGCTGAGGCAGCAGCTGAGCAGCGTGTGAAGAGCAGGCTGCCAACAATGGGATCCACAACCCCTGGCAGAAGGTGAGAGTCTTTATGCATGTTCTCTTTCATGGAAGGTCTCACGGACCAAACTGCCCCATCATGATCTTGCCAGAAAAAAATTTCATTTTTAATCAAATTAACTTGATATGTCCACTGAGACCTTGCTAAATTAAATTTGTATGACAAAAATACCTCTTTTACATATATTGACACATTTGTAATCTGAAGCATAAATAGGACAAGCAACTGAATTGATGACTCAGTTATTAAGGTCCAGATGTGTTTAAACCCAGACATGTTCATAGCTTAAGCTTTTAGATACTATCTTGAGGACACCTGTAAACAAGGGTGCAAACATAAACCACCTTTCTTCTTTTTCCTCAATTTTCTTTTAAACTTCCTCAATAAGATAGCCCTTTTCTTACTCCTGGGCAAAATTTGAGGAGTAAGAAAAGGTTAAAGTTAATGTTTCTGCAGTCATAAATATTAACAATTTCTCAGGAGTCTTCCAGTCCCAAGAATAGTCTAGGCCATTAATCAAAATGTCTAATGCATTCTAAACATCAAGTCTTCATCCCCAGTCACTGCCTTCTTTTTTTGCCTCATGTCTGTGAGACACAGGCACCTGGGCCAGGTACACAGAAGAAGTGTATCTGGCTCATTCACGGAGTGCCACCTCTCTTCTTTTACTATGTCAGCAGGTCCAGATACAACTTACTACCTCTGATTAAGTTCTTTAAATTCCTCCAAGAATCCTTGTTCAAATATCAAGCTCACTGATTGGTTTACTAATTCATTCAACATGTATTTACTGAGCATGTACCAATAGGAAGCCCTTGTTCTTGAATCATGAGAAAAACTCCCCAGAAATGCTTGCTCTTAACTATAGGTTAATTAAACTAGAACATTTTAACAGTGAAAATGAGAGTGAAAGATATTTCTCTTTATAATTACATGACATCAAACACAAACACATTCTGTCTCAGACAGACCAGAACATATGGTCACCTTACAGAGAGTGACTTATACAGTATGTGATTAGTCTCATTTAAAAAATAACATAAGATAAGGGAGAACTGAGTATAGAATTTTTTTATTTGAAACATGATCAGGGAATGTCTTCCTGTAGAGGGGACATCTGAGCAAACATTTATAAAAGAGGAGGAAGTAAACCACATAGAAGAGGTGAGAGCATTCAAGCAAAGGAAAAATTAAATGAAAGGTCTGTAGTGAGTGTGTGCCTCTCATGTTTGAGGAAAAGGACAGGACAACACAGTGACTAAGGGACTTGAAGTGAGGAAAGGAACGGCTGGAGATGGATTGGTGAGGTAAGAGATAAAGAGGAGCATTGCAGAGATGTTGGCCTCTGCTCTGAGTGAGATGGGAGCACAGGGATTTTTTTTTAGCAGAACAATGACATATTCTGACATGCTTTAACAGGTTTGAATTGGCTTTGCGTTGATATAAACTGTATGAATAAGAGTGAAGTCAGAAAAATCACTCTTGAGACTGTTTCAAAAACCTAGATGAGAGATGATGGTGACAGACTTGGGGAGGCAGTGAGAATGAAGAGAACGATCAGGTACCAGTTCTCTTTTGTATATATTTACATCAGAATTTCCTGATGGATTACACATGGGATATGCAAAGGAAAATGGAGTCAGACTTAATCTCAAGGTCTTTTTTTCCTTGAGCAATTGGAAGGGTATTGTTGGTTTTCTCAAAGCTTCTCTCAGTTTGCTTGAGGTGAGGAAGGTTGCCTTCCAGAGTGTGGAAGAGGAGAAGGAAAATGCCACCACACTCTAGCAAATTTCCTTTAAAAAAAATTTCCTCTCACAGTCTCTTTAATTTCAACCATTTTGTATGCTAAAAAAAATACTGGGCTAAGGGTCATAATATTGACCTAAAGACTCACATAGATGTAGTGGCACTTTTTTGGGGAATATAAGAGTATTTGTTTCTTGTTATTTGATTACTGTCCTTTTGGTTATTTAGCTAAATAGAGAAAGAAATAATTCAATTTTAGCATCCTGATTATATAGACAAATTTATAACATGAAAACAAACACTCAACAGATCAAGATCACATCTCCAGTATAATTTTAATATTTTTACTTCTATCACCCTGTCAAATTTTT